AATAAAATGGCTTCAAGACATACCACTTAGCAGCTCTTATGATCTACTGAACGATTCAACAGAACCACAAAACATTACAGGAAAATTAGAAGAAAAAAAAGCAGTAAAACCACCACCAATATACATCAACGTGAAAATCATCGACCCTCTGCTCGAGTTATTGAATGAAACAGCTGGACAAAATAACTATGTAATGAATCAACTGAACCAAGTGAAAGTACAAACTATTACCTCAGATACGTTCAGAAAGGTAATAAATGCACTAAAAACTAAAGATGCGGGATATACCACACGTATAAAGAAAAAAACCAGAATAGCTATAAAATCGTTATTCGAGGACTTCATCCTAAGTCAAATACAGTTAAAATAACAAATGAATTAGACAAACTTGGTCCCAAGGTAAGATCAATAAATAATATAACAAAATTTAATACCAATCAGCCGCTACCTTCATTTTTTGTTGAACTGGCACCTTAGGATAATAACAAAAACATATATGAAATTAATACCCTGCTTATTACAATAATTAAAGTCGAACTACCTAAAACAAAAAGAGAAATATCACAATGCACACGATGCCCAGCTTATAGACACACACAAAATTATTGCAATCGAAATCTTGCCTATGTCAAATGTACACAAAAACATTTAAAAACACTCTGTCCTCAAGAGGGCAAAATTGAAAACGTCAGGTGTGTAAATTGTAATAGTAAACACCTAGCAAATTATAAAAGATGTCAGACAAGGAAACTCCTAGAACAAAAATTATTTCCAACGCTAAGGAAAAAAGTACTGGAAAAACCCACCCTAGACGATGCCTATAAGGAAAGCCACTACAATAAATTAAACGAAAATGCCAACAGAGATAAAATACAATTATTTGAACGCACTGCATCAAGAAGAAGCTACGCCGAAGTGACTAAACGAGCACATACAAATACAGAAGACTTAAACACACAGGAGACATCGGACATTAAAGAATTATTGAAACAATCAATTAAAAACACCGAAATTATAACTAAAATGTTAATGGAGCAAAATTCTATTCTAAAACAACAAAAACAACAAATTACCACAATGCTACAACTATTAACAAATACGCTACTTAACAACAAATAATGGATACGCAAATAAAAATAGCGGCTTGGAACAGAAACGGATTACAACAACGAATTCAAGAAACCAAAGCAATCATATACACGCACAACATAGACATTTTACTTGTTTTTGAAACTCATCTCACAGATAGAAACTATATAAATATTTCATACTACACCATGTATATCACACAAAACATCCTTCAGGTAAAGCGCATGGTGGAATTGCCATAATTATTAAGAATGAGATCAAACATCATCTACACAGTAATACAGCTCACGATTACCTTCAAGCTACCACAATTACCGTAAGAATTTAGGGTAATTCATTTCAACTCTCAGCTATTTATGCACCATCAAGATTCAAAATTTCAACCGATCAATGGAACAATTTTTTCAAGTCATTAGGTAATAAATTTATAGTAGCTGGCGACTTCAACGCCAAGCATTCAAATTGGGGATCAAAAATAACTTCTCCACAAGGTAAAACACTAGATTCATACATAACCAACACAAACCTAGACATCCTCACGATAAGCGAGCCAACCTACTGGCCCTCAGCTTATAACAAAACTCCCGACTTACTAGATTTTGGTGTTCTAAAAGGCTTAAATCTACTTCACTTTAAAATAGAATCATTCCTTGAACTCAGCTCTGACCCATAATAATCACATACCAAACAAACCTTTCCTATATAAAAAATCACTAAATTTGTGCAATGAAACTACAAATTATATAGATGATCTTTAAAGAAATCTTAGCATCCAAATTGAACTGTAATATTTCGCTCAAGACCTCTTTTCAAATAGAAAAAGGAGTTAGTACGTGAAAATAGAAGACACTCATTCGAACATCAAACTAATCAAAGCTGGGATCCTGCAGGGAAGTATCCTCGGACCAATTCTCTACACCCTCTATGCGGTAGACATACAAATAAACGCAAACTGTATAGTCTTAAAATTTGCAGATAACACAGCAATGCTTACCATAAACAAGAACCCGCAACAAGCAATTCAGTCGTTACAAAAACAAATCAACTCTCTCGAAGAATGATTACGTAATAGGAAGATCAAGGTAAACTCTACCAAGTGTAAACATATCATGTTTAAACTGAGGAAAAACCAAATACCGAAACTACAACTATATAATACGGAAATTTCGCAAGTAACGACGGTCAAGTATTTGGGATTACATCTAGATTATAAACTAACATTGGAAAAAGCATATAAATGCCAAAATTGAACAAATTCGTCTAAAAAGGAGACAAATGGCTTGGCTTACTGGTAAAAAATCTGAACTTAGCATAGAGAACAAACTATTTATCTACAAAACAATACTAAAAATAATTTGGATCTATGGAATACCGCTACGGGCTATAGCAGCTAAATTTCACATTGCCAAGCTCGAGGCTCAGCAATCCATAACTCTACGCACTTTCGTGAATGCTCCATGCATGTTTTATATTTCGTACATCCGTAACGAAGAGATGAGAAAAGACCTAAATGTTCCTACGATAGAAGAAGAAATAACCAAGACAACCTGTAGATACAAAAAAAGAATTGATACGCACATAAACCCGCTAGCCAACGATAACTACAACCAATATATCCTTAGAAGGCTCAAAATAATTCACCCAGGAAACCTAGTAAAAAATTAAACCTAACCGAAATAAATGACAATAGCGCCGCTATCTCATTGGAGAAACCGTCCACGTGCTATCTTTTTTCTCTCATATAACAATTTACCAAATGTCTACGGACAAATTGTAAAGATGTATCATACATCCACCCATAAAAATATTCATATAGTATACTGGGAAGTTTTTAGTAATCCTCCTTAATCCCTTTAATTAGCACCAACCGATAACAACTTCTTTAAGTCTTTGGAATATTATATTCGTTGCAAAACATTTCAGAATTTAACAAAATTGCAAAACAAACTCAATGACTTTTTTAAGTGAAAATCCGTATATTTTTTTGTAAAGTGGATTTAAAAAATAGGTGACTACATAGGAAACCGTCCTAAGAAAAAAAGAAAAGTATATTTTGAGTAAGTATTTAAAAATTTACTGGAAATCAAAACTTTTTATTAACATCACAAATGATGAATTTCTTTCTAGTTCCTTTAATATTTTTTAATCATGTGGCACCACAAAAAACATCGAGCTTCTTTTATTTATTCAGCCTTCTCAAATAATTTAAAACTGTTTGGTTATGGATGTTTTGTTTCTTGATGATCGTTTATGTGACTGCTTTTATATCATATTATCGACTTTTTCAATGAATGGTTGACCAGAACGAGTTGCATCTTTATCATTAAATTTTCCAGATCAAAAACATGCGAACCATTGACACATAGGCCAGTCTTTTCAATAATACACCTCTACCATAAACATCAAAAATTGTTTACACTCTTTTTTTAATTGAAGTTGAATTAAAAAATGTATCGAATTTTTTTTCTTATTTTCACTTATTTTAAATACTCAATAACTTTTCATTGAATTAATAAATATCACAAAGTTTTTTAATTTATTTTATGAAATGTCCCCTTTTAAACGCACGCTAATATGACACGTTCAAATTAGCATTATTACAATTATGTTATGTAATGAGGAAAACGTTAGAAACTTTTCGACTACTTAATATATTCATGTAAACTTTTTGAAATAAAAAATTTATAAAACTTATATTTTTCTTGAAAAGAAGTCGGGACATACTTTAACTTAGTTTGAAATTTCTTATAATGGTATCTTTATTGGTCCATCTCAATGACAAATCTGATTATCGATAGCGAATGTCCTTTCTCTTCTTTTAATATTCTTCAAAAGGAATTAGAAAGTATATAATTTTATTGTCTATCAAGAAAGGGAAAAAAGAAGGGAAAAGAAGTAAAAGGGAAGGAAGAAAGAAAAAATTATTCAATGATCTGCCACTACAAAGAAACTCAATTTTTCCGAGTCTTGATAGCGTGTATTTTTTATTGTAGGTCTACTAGGTTTATGACTATAAAATACGCTTTCGTTATTCTTATCTTTCATTTTCTTGTAAAAAAATTAATCGAGTAATAATTTTTTAATTACAATAACTTATAGCTATGGTTCTTAAACTATTTTGATTTGCGTATCTATCTCTCTTATTAAAAACATTCAAACGACTTGTACCATCAATTTACAAAAGAAAGAAAAACAGCATTATGCGAAGTTTATAATTTATTATATAATTGTAATAAACCATCTTTGAAAAAAAATGTATTATATAAGTGATGATAAGAAATAAAAATTGAATAAAAGTGCTTACAACATTATAAAAAAATTTAAAAAAAGAAAAATATACAATATTATTAACATTATTAATAATAAATATAAATTTTTAAAAAGAAGTTAAAAAGGGGTAATTTGCCAAATCTTTTTCATGATTTCTAAAATCTTTCCGCGACCCTTTTTAGGGTCGGAGCCCCCATTTTTAGGAACACTAACTTATAAAACAACGCATTCATGTTCTATCGCTTTTTATTCTCTAAATTTTTGTTGAGATCTTTATTTGTATCAATTATTCATTGCATCATCAAAATATGTAAATCGACTATCAAAATAAATTGATTCTATAATTGCATCTTGCATCAATAGAATATAAAGGATATCAATGATCTTGAACTTTTCTAATATGTAAAATAAATAAAAAATAAAATAATATAAAAGTAAGAAATTAAATGATCTAGAAAGTAAGAATCGATTAAAAATATAAAAAATATAAGAATAAGAATTAAAATAATAGGGGACAAAAAAGAAACAATAGAGTTCAAAGCGGTCACCGAGTAGAAATGAGATAAAACCCCATTAAACGTCTAGCTACGATACCCTCGATTATTATCTGGTCAGCAAAAGATCAGAGTTGCTTCGTATCTCTGTGAGCGCCGTTCGTTGTGGTCCCATGATTCCACGAGGCGGAAGCTGTTTATTAACGTGAGGTAATGATGATGATGCCAGAACGACGACGAACACTCAGGTCACCGACAACGCAGAAGCCAACGGAACCGATACCAAACGACATCTTATATTCGAGAGCCAGGCATACTTGCTTAGTTATTAATGTGTGTGTTCATTAAAATTAATTCTTTCAATAAAAAAAAATTTTGAAAGAGTGACAGAAAAAAGGAGAGAGAGTAAAAAGGAAAAGTGAGAAAGAGAAGTAAAAGAAGAAGAAAAAAGAGGAACTCTAACACGAAGAGGTGTCAAAGAAAAGAAATGAAAAACTTGAAGAATCAAAACCTTCCTACTAATTGAAAGTTTCGATTAAAGGGACAACTAAAGGACATCAGAAGGTATAAGTGGACACGGAACTCCACAAAGGACATGTGCAATCTCTATTAAATTCAAATTAATTTCCAACGAAGTAAACTTTTATCGATATCTACGAAACGTTAACGACCTACGTCGTTTACAAGCTCTCATCAAGAATTCCTCGCTTTTCGGTTTGTTATTACGACGTAGTTACAGCTATTTGTGGCTTTTTCCCAAAACGAAATTCACTAACTGCAATTAGAACGAAATTTTGGTGCTACGTTTTACGGGTATTCTCGTTAGAATACGAATTTTCTGCGGAGAATGATATTTTTTGTAAAGAGAAAGTGAAAATAATTTTGTTTTGCTTATATGTTTTTTTATCGATTTTTTTAATTTATATTTTTCGTTAAAGAATTGAGGGAAAGAAAAATTCAAGTACAATCTTTGAGCTTTTTTTTACTGACGTATCAATCTTTGTGTTTGTCAAAGTGGATGCTCCATTGATCATCAACCAATCGATAAATCATATTGCAACGAATGAATTTAATCTCTGATAGAGAATTAATAAGGCGTTCAATTAGTTTGCGGCTGCTTTCTTATGCTGTGTTATCGCGAGAGTGTAGGTGTGTGTGTGTGTGTGTGTGTATACGTGTAATATGTGATATGTGATGTCAATTAGATTAATCGTTCGTTTATCGTGAAAAGGATTGAGTAACTCGTATAATATGACATACGAAGTTATGTCTGTCAATGATTTGACTTGATCTTCTCGTTCTCGTGATATTCATAGTTACTTTGAGTGATTTATATTTCGAATGAAATTTTTAAAAAAATTGAAAGATATTTGTTTTTTTCCAATGGATCGGTACGTAATCTCTTAATATCAACATACTTTTCAAAATAATTCTAAAAAGCCTGCTATTTGTTTTTTTTTTATATCTTTCTTATTCAAATGCGAACATAATTTGATCTTATAATACGTCTGTCCTAGTTTTTATGCGCTTGTTAACCCGTATCTGAATTTTTTCATATCATAATATTTTATTGAAAAGTTAAGGAGATATTCGTCTTACGGTAAAGTGAAACCAAAAATAGCCCTTTATCTTATATTCAAAGGATTTTCTTCTAGAAAGATAATATTTACTGAATTATATTTCTCTCTACACATAATCGTAGATTAAAAAAATAATTCTTTGGAGTTAAACGTCCTGTTTTTTTCTTTTGTTACAGTCTTGGTGTACCGGTACACCGTAGAAGAGCAAACAATGAGCATGAGAAGAACAGAAGCTAAGTAGCAGGCTATAGGTACGGGAATAGGACGAGAAAGCAACGAATAAAAAGAAATATAAGGAACAAAGAGTCGGAATAGAAAGTAGACGGACGAAGGAGAAGAAGGAGAAGAAAAAATATACGAAGAAAAGAGGATTTCAAAGTAAAGAAAGAAAGGAATAGAAAAAGGGAGGAGAGAAGAAGAAAATAGTGAAGAAAGCAAATATACATCGAAAATATGACGACGAGTAGAACTTTCAAAACTACATGGAGGCTAACGTGGTTTATTTGCCTGTTATTGGCCAGCTGTTTAGCGCAAACCTCACCAATGTGTCCAGAACAACGTGAAATCTCACCATGTTCCTGCTCCACGAAAAAGGCTGGTTTGGATATAGTTTGCGAGCAGACCGAATTAACACACATTTCTAAAGCCATGAATACTCTCAAAGGAAAACCAAATACTGTCATTTTCTATTTAAGACTCAGACACAATAATTTACCTAAACTTCAAGGCTACATGTTCCTCGGTCTGGACATACGTCATCTTACTATTCACAATAGCACTTTGGCTGCAGTTGAAGAATCCTCCTTGAACTCGATCGGTAAGTCGATAAGATCGATCAAATTTGATTAAAATTTCTTGTCTCTTGAAAAAATTCAATGTCTCCTAGATAAAAAATAATTTCCCTCATTCTTGAATCAATCATATTTTGATTTACGTTAGAGAATATAGCAAAAATAATTTAATGAAAGATTGAAAGACGAGACGATTCGAGAAAGATTTTTTATTTCAATAAATCGTATCCAGTACTCTCTTATATCTCTTATCATTTTTTACAGGCAACAAATTGACACAACTGGACTTCTCACAGAATTATTTAGGAACCGTTCCATCGCTGGCGTTACGAAATCTTCATCATTTACTTATTTTGAATCTCAATCATAATAAGATCAATGCCATTCATGCGAAAGCTTTCGAAGGCCTCGACACACTTGAAATTCTCACTCTCTACGAAAATGAGATATCTTCGATAGACGGGGAAGCATTTAAGGGACTTGATAAGTACGATATTTGAATATTTTTATAATTATTTTATTCCTACATGACAGGTTAATTTCTAATCAAAATACAAACGATTATACCGACAGTCGAAAATTAAAACGCCTCAATCTAGGAGGGAATAAATTAACAAGCATACCAACATCTGCTCTTTCCTCGTTGGATATGTTGAAGAAGCTGGAGATGCAAGAAAATAAAATACGATCTATCCAGGAAGCAGATTTTCAAGGTAAACAAGCGGATTTGATTTATATTTGATTAAAATTCTACGTTCAATGTTATTGCTTTTCTTCATTTAACTTTACGATAACTATAAGTATAAATATTGTTTTATTATTATCTTAAAATTGTTATATTTATTATTCAAGCTATGACTATCTATATAACTGAATTTAATTATAAGACATATAACTTTTGTTAAGACTTTGACTATATATATAGTTAGGGCATATATAGGTATGAATAAGGTAAGTTTATCGTTAATAATTGTCTAATTCGTACGATCAAATCTAGATTTAAACGTCTATTTAATCTTTACCTTTATTTAGATCAAATTATCGTATAATATTCACTTTAATACGAATTAAACTGTTGCTTTCTCGAGTTAGTTTCAGAGAATATTAAAAGAGACATAAATAATAAATAAAATTTCATGAAAGTTTAAATATAGATAAATATAGATATATGCACACACACATAGATTTCTTTAAAAATTTTATTAAAAGTATCAACACTATTTAAAAAAAAAAAAACAAAAATAATTAACTCAATGCTATTTCTAAAAGATAATCATCGTTGTGATTAATAATATTGATGTACGAATTTTCCATAGGTTTGAAAAGTTTGGACTCGTTAGGATTGGCGCACAATCAGATTCGATCTATACCAGCTCGTGCATTCTCTGATTTGTCACAATTAAATTCTTTAGAGCTTGACGGAAATGAGATAATCTATGTCGATCCAGATGCATTTATTGGCCTTGAAGGTGAGTCAAGTTTATTTACATGTAAACATTTTCTCGAAAGTAAACTTTTTTTTCATACTAAAGCAGATTTTATAAGTTATTTTACAAAGATATTAAATTTTCTGTAATATTTGAATTGAGACACGGTTTCTCTATTTTCATTGAAAGTTACTCACACAATTCTCTTTCGAAAGAAATGTGTGCACTCTAAACGTCATGCTTGAATACTCCAGTAGTATTGCAAAGTGCATCACACAAGCGTGATTTAATGTATGGAAGTAGTAGGTGATGCGCATCACGGATTACTTATATAAATCATACACACACACGTGCAACACGGATGTGTATGAGTAAGTTAGAATGCATTGCGTGTGGGATCTTTTAACCCTCTCGAGGATATATCAAAACGTTTAATTACAATCATTATGTAGTTCTGTACGTTACGTATAAAACACGAGGGTTTATTTACCTCGACGATACCGACTTTAATTACCTTTAATTAACCGTTTTACCTCGTAAAAATTACTCTTCTATAATCACAAATACAAACAAAAATGTCTTTCTTTTTTAATTTTTTTTTTTTTCTTTTCAGAAAATCTACAATATTTACGATTAGGTGATAACAATTTACACACGATACCGAGTGATGCTCTTAGACGCCTCCATCGTTTACGTCACCTTGACTTAAGAGCAAACAATATAACTGTGCTCCTAGAAGATGCTTTCACTGGTTACGGAGATTCAATATCTTTTCTCAATCTTCAGAAAAATTTGTAATTATAATTCATATTTTGATCTTTTACCTGTCAATGTCGACAGATCTCGTATCGACATAAACGTCCAAATGTTTCAACCTTTCAGAATTAAGGTACTACCACCGCTGGTATTTGAAAATTTAAATTCCCTGGAAACGCTTAGCCTACAGAATAATAAACTCACTCACATACCCGAGGAAGTGACAGAAACAATCGTCGACACATTGCGACATATCGACATAACAGGTAATGTTATGATCCAATTTCTATAAATAGTTCTGATTATAAACGTAGAGTATTTCATTTAAACCACAATATACGATTGAAAAGACCTTGTCAATTTTAAAATCAAATTTTAAAATAGATAATCTTGACGATACATAAAATTAAATTATCAAATATTACGACTAACGATTTGATTTATTTAATTTTTTTTGTATACAGACAACCCGTTGATATGCGATTGTGAGCTTCGTTGGTATCCAGCCTGGCTTCAAAATCTTCGCGACAAGGACGACGAAATAATGTCAAAGAAGCGTACGGTTTGTATGATGCCGTCCGAGCACCGGGAATATTCCGTGCAAAATATACCCTTAGAAAAAATGGGCTGCGTCAGAAAGAACGAGGAGAAAATGCCGTGGAATGGTATTGCTGTTTACCGGAACATCTGTTACGTTAACTTTCTCGCGTTTTTCATCGTCATCGGCTTATAAACCTTTTGTTTATCTATCTACCTTCGTCATTATAATTGTGTTTCTTATTATTTTTTTTATTTTTTACCTTACAAGAAGAGAGATCCGTATCATGAGAAAATCGCTAACTCGAAAAATACTTTTCTTTTATTTTTATTTCAAATTAAACTAGCAATCATTGCTCGTTAATCATTTGGCGTGCTATTTATTCATGATTTAACATATATTGGACAAGTCTTTTAGATACATTAAGATCTCGTTCCAATCGGATAGAGACATCGAATACGTTGTATGAAAGATAGCAATGAAAGTATAAGAAATTTAAGATGTCGTATTAACGTAACGGATGTCGTAGTAACGTTTCTCGTATTCTAATAGTAGTTATACTTTCGAACAGAGTATTCGTAAGTAACTGCGACAATCGATAGTTCTACGATGACTAGATCCTTTCACCTACTAAATTAGTTGATTTGCAAGAAATGTAAAGGTTCTATTCGCAAAAGATATGCAGTGGCCCGCGGGGGAGAGATTAGAGGAATGAAAAGAAAGTAGACTGAATTTACACACGGATTGTTCAATGTCTTAGATCATAGTCGTAAGGTTCTTCATTTAATCAACGTAAATGTTCGAAGAATCGTCTGATTATCGTTCTATTAAACAAGAAAAAGAAGAGAAAGAGAACGGAAATTAATTCCGTCGATCTCACGGAAGCGAATCTCGTTTGTTACGAGTGCATGAGCTTTCATCACCAAAACGTTACATATCAATATCGTTGCCAACCATTTTGTGAATATTCTTTAAGGTTGCGAAGCGAAAGGAGATTAGTATAATTAATAATAAAAAAGAGGAGAAAAGAAAAAGAAGAAAGATCCCTTTTTAAAAAAAATTAAGAAAAAAGAGAATATAATTAACTAAGGGGTCTAACCACTCAGATCCTTCGAAAAAGGGGTATATTCTAAAAAAATTCATAAATTTTTGAAAGTATAAACTGAAATATTTTTATTTTTTAACACACAGCAAAATACGGCTTCAGGAATTATTATAGGAATTATTTTACAATTATCAGGAATTACATTATGCTTAAATAACTTTTTGACAGAAATATTTAAAACTTTCGGCACTGCAGCAATTTCCACGGAGTCCCTCGGCACGGTAAACACTGATGCCAAATCACGAAAACGCCAGATGAATATGAAAATATTGTTTAATTTTGTTGAAAAAAAGTATTTAAGGGTTTTGGAAATTGTTAATTATGAATCTTATATTATTTTTCTTAAAAACGAAATAGCGAACTGGAAATTGCTGACATTTTCATTAAAAAGTGACTAAATCCTTTTAAAAATTAGGATTTGAGGATTGTTTAGATAGCTGATTATGAATCTGCTACTTTTTGTTGTTGAAAGACATAATAGCGGACTTTAAATCAAAGATTTTTAATTTATTTTTAATTAAATTTTTTCATAATATTACACATAAAATAATGGATAAAGCGTATGATCATTACAAATACGGTTGTGCATTACCATAGAATATCGTGAATAAAAGCTACATTTTTATCTATTTAAACTCAAATAAAGCGCTCTAACTCGTACTTTTCATATACTTAGAGCCCTTAGAATAAATATTTTTCATACCGCATCGGCGAAAAATACGTAGCAATATACTCTCCATTAGCAACTACATTTATTCTTAATGTAAATTTTTAAAAACATAATTCACTTATACTTACTGTCAAGCGAAGATTCTTTATTTATATGTTTGAATCGGAAAAATATTAACTGCATTATGCGCGTTTAAAGACACCATAACTTTCGATGCACAGTGAATCACAAATGCAATGCCCTCGACGTTTACGTTTCAATCGATAATTTACAGGTGTGCATTAGCTTACTTATCCATATCAAATGGTTGATAAAAACGCTACAGGGTCTGTAAAACATATTCCATGGGTTGAAAGACCGAAAATAATATTTATTCTTTTTATTTTACACGCGTGTTCGGGATTTAAAATTAGTGTACGACACGTATCTGAAAAGAATCAACTTATTTGCAGACAATGTCGCTTCAATACAGCGTACAAATTTTTTTTTAACCGTTAGGGAATTTATGAAATACAAATCTTTTTACGTCTGCTTACCATAAATGCCCCGATTGTTGAAAAAGAATTCGTATATTATATTGTAGTATCGCTATTTACGAGTAAGCTGATTTTATTCCAGATTTAAAATGACGATACAGCTAAGCTACGCGTATACTGTGTGGAAGGCCTCCGCAGAAATGCTGCAGTGCCGCAATTTCGTTTTATACTTTCGAGTCTATGAACATTTAAAAAATAGACCTATTTTAGTAGCGGTCTGGGTGACCCCCATAATAATACTTATAATAATAATAATTTAATAATAATAATAGTAATAATAATAATAATAATATAATAGTAATAATAATAATAATAATAATATAAATAATAA